TCATTTGTTTACTTGTCTGACACACAGCCTAGCTAACCGCACTTGATCCATCAATATTCCAAGCAGGAGCAGGCCTGATCAAACCTGCTAAGAGCTAAGCTTAGAAAGAACCTGCCAGTTATGTGACTAAAAGCAGTGATCATGTGGTAACAGTCATCTCTGGAAAATAACATTTAATCTGAAATATTTGAGCACATTTCATATTAGTATTACATTTTTAATACACATTTAAATTACATACCTGAAATAAATAACCTTGAAAATAAAAGATACAAGGCGATATACTTTTTGCTAAACAGTTAAAATAAGTATTTAAGTCTTGAGGTTATTTCAAACTGTAAACACAGACCCTCTCCCATCAGCATTCCCTGCCAACTCTTTGCTTCTGGTGTGCTGAAACGTGCTACTCGCCTTGTTATCAGCACTGGAAACGCCTCCATTTAGGCTCACTGGACACCATGAGAGAGATTTTTCATTGTTCATTTATTGACGGCTACCCTTTCCACCTTCCATAAACTTTAACAACTAAAGTATACTGATATAACTATCTCTTCTTTCTCTTTCCAAGATAGCACTGGAGGCTTATTATAGGTCTTTTCACAAGAAGCTGAAAGTCACCAAAATATATTTAGGCATTTGCCCAATAATGACCATACTTCATATACTAAGAAGATGGACACTGATGCAAAATGTATACATTAGCTTGCATTTTTTGCTAGAACTACTATAACAGAGTAAATATATGCAAATCAGATTAACAGGAAAAGATGACAGAAAAAGGAAGAAAGAACAAAGAATGAAAGACAAAGCTATCTACAGTACAGATTAGTTTCAGAAACAAGAAAACACTAAGTACCTTGTTTCTGGACGTTATAATTTGCTTAATAACTATTCTGTCTGCCAATACCAGCACCTTTGTCACTGAAGAAAGCAGCAGTCTTGCAGCTTTTACCACTTGCGTTTTGTCTGTAAAAATTGTTATCCGGCCATCAGATTCTGGATGATCCAAGTTAGCTACATCTGTAAGATGTGCAATTGTTTCACCTACCAAAAAAAAGTTTCATACTTTTAAAACAGAAATATATTGGGAACATTAAATACTCACAAATATAAAGGGATAAAACAGCACTCTGTTGGCTGACTTCGAGTTCCTTTTGATTCATACTGAGCTTACATTTCAGTTTACAGCTGCCCAATTTTCTCTTCCCTCCCCTCAAGTCATGACCAATATTCCTTTCCTTGCATGAAGAACCCATAGGATCCAGTTTTTCAAAGCAAAATTAAAAGACTGACCAGCTTTCCTAGTTTAAGTAGCAAAAGACACATTAATGCAAGTTTTAGAACAGTGGTCACCAACCAGTGGATCTTGATCTACCCGTAGATCTCGGAGTCAATCTGAAGCTGGGCTGGGGGGGCTGAGTGCCCGGGTGCATGTATGCACACACCCCACCCCCAGGCCAGCAGGTCAGTCCATGGGGGAGGGAAGGGGCAGGGTCCAGATACAGGCCCCCTGCAGTGAGAGAGAAAGTGGGGCTAGGGCTGGGGCCTTGATCTGCCCCATCCCTTCCCCCATAGACGTACCTGCTGGGGAGGCATGCCCCCAATAATTTTTTCTCCTTCTGCCTCGATTTGCCGCCCCTCCTTCCCTCCCCACAGACTTACCTGCTGGGGGGGATGGTGGGGGAGTGGCGGTACATGGTAGATCTTGGATTTCTTTTAAATGATAAATGTGATCTACTTAAAAATGTTGGAGACCGCTGTTTTAGAACAACAAGAGAGTAGAACCACCCATGGTTTCACCATAGTTTTTGACAGCTTTGGCTTTAATTCACATAAAGCCAATCATACATAGGTTTCATTTTGCTTTAAAATCCTCCACTGTGAAGAGCAAACAGGTCCTAATCAAAATTTTAATATTAAATAAAAATGTTGAGATCATCACAGAAGCATTGTAATGAGATGGTTAGCTGTGTTTTACAAAAAATATTTAACAGTACAGGGTAAAGAATACAAAGGAACAGACAGAATTTATGGTGAAGTATTCCTAGGAAGTATATGCTAAAAATAACATGCAACACTTCACAGATACAAAATATGCATATGTATTTACAGCAACTTTCCCCCACAACTAAGAGATTGTTTAAATAATAAAAGAATGCAACACCATTACATCCATGTGCACTTCAACAAGAATATTAATATGAACTCTAAACTATCTTGATGCTAAAATAAAGAAAGAGTCAGCTAGAACATGATTAAAACTATTGGGATCAAATACTTATTTTCTGAGAAAAAGGCTTGAACGTGCTTTAAATAATTGTTTAGTGTACTATTCACTCCCTTAATGATTTCAGATGAGTAGCTGTCAACCCTTCAGCTTAGCTACAGAGGTATGACTCAAAAGGGCCCATGTAACCACAAAATGAGTATCTAGGTTTGTCAGCAAAGTAAAGAAAAGCAATAAACATGGAGTTACCCCAGTAGTGAGATCTAATTTGAGCAAGAGTCTAGGTTAAATAAGATAAATAATGCAAACCATACCATAGTTTTAGCACATGGATGTCAGTTAGTGATTGATGTAACCAGATGCATCAGATATGTTTGTACCATAAAAGGTATACCTTCTTTTAAATTTCTTAGTTAAGTTGTAAAAATAAAATCACCCTTGTCTAAAGAAACCACCAAGTAAGGGGGCAAGAAAAGATGGTGACAGGTGATGTTCTAAGATGGTGAAGGAAGTAGGTGAAAGATTTTCCCTTCTAAAAATTGAGACGTAAATTCCAAGAAAATGGACAACTTCCAGGGCCACAGAAAAACTTGTTCAGGCCTGTTCCCAGAATCTCATTGAGAAAGAAATTGTAAACAAAATCAAAATGGCAAATACTTGCTAAAGTAAACCATGTATAAAAGTGAGATATGTACTGGAGGAAATATTGGCAAACTCAGGGCACAGACAAATATAACAGCTGTATTGATGCAAATGTAAGTAATACAAGCTGTTAGGATAACTATATCCGTTACATCTGCATGCTCCTCTAGTGACACGTGTAGGAAAACTCCTGCAACTTTAGACCTGTTTCATTAAGGCTAAAGCTGCAAGTGGCAGCTCCCCCTCCCCTTTCAAAGCTGTTAAAAAGTATATTTGTTCCTAGCCTCAGTGAATGCAAAATGACCCGCTGCCAAGCCTGCATGCCATCCTCCTCTACCCTCCTAATCTCCCAAGGCAGTTAAAGCAAGAGTCTATATTGCCCTGTTCCAGGTAGCTGAAGATGGACACTAGGATAAGCAAGTATTCTTGAGCTCTGGAGTGTAAACAGGAACGGATCCAGGGAGTGTCCTGGTGCACCTGCACCTTCCCCCATCCCCCAACCTTTGACTCCTGCTCCACCCAAAGTTTAAAACCAACTGCCTGGCAGTAGCAGCAACATTTTTGGTCAGGCAGTGCTGAGGGAGTCAGCTTCATGGCTCATTATTAAACCTACCTGCTCCCTTCTAAACTCTTCATTCCACAGTTGTTAGCACCCTCTCTCCTTCATGGTTCTGGTATTCCACCAATCAAGCTATCCTTTGTTCTGCAATTATGCTGTCTGTTTGCTGCTCCTGGTAATGAAGCTCCTATTTCACATCCCCCCACCCTCCCCTGCCAGATTGTTTTTAACACATTTCAATGAAGTTTTATTTGTTTTTGCCCCAATCTTGAATTGAATAATACAGCCCCCTAGGGCCCTGAATATTAGTAAAGCTTCTAGTTTACTTTTACCTGGAGAAAAATGTGTTGCTTTATATGTGATTAGGCACCTCACCATCTGCACCCTCTTGTTCAAAATTCTACCTCTGCTCATGGGTGTAAACAGCACACATCTGGGGGCTGCAGGACCAGTCTGTTACCTCTTGTACGAGTAGCCAATCTACCAGGACACCTGCAGCCCAGGTAACATACCCATTCACTTTAAGGTAAAAAGACTGCAATTCAGCATCAAACACAAACAACAAACATGAAACATCAAGTAACTTCAAGCTCAATCTCAAATTATTCATTTCCATATCATCCAACCCCTACATACCTGTAAGTCTAACTTAGTGATTCTCAACAAGGGTGCTGTGGCACCCCAGGGTGCCTTCAGATCCTTTCAAGGGTGCCACAGTTTGCTATGCAATGTTAGCATGATTAGGTGTGCAAACACTATTCAAAAGATTAATCCAGAAACTTCAAAACAGGAATCTACAGTCTTAAAAGTGTTCTGACCAGTTTGGGGCTTTTTTAGTTCCTTGTAACAAAAGAATGTCTATTATTTTTCTGTAGTAAAAAAAATAAATAAGTGAAACAAAGAGCTGGCATTTTCCAAAGGATGCTTCAAGTTTAGTGATGAGTGCCTCAAGCCTGAAAAGGTTGAGAGCCACTAATCTAATCTAATGCATTAGAAAAAAAATTATTACAGTATTTGAACCCCGTGCTCTCAAGCTTTATGCATGGAACAGACTAACAACTCCCCTTTTCCTCAGAAGTGTTTTTGTTTGGTTGTTTGGGTTCATCTCTAGCAGCACTGAGGTATCACACAGTGATACAAGTGACTACATATGGCACAGACCACCCTTTTAAAATCCATGATTTAGAGCTTAGCAACAGGTACGAACCTTTTGTAGCCCCAGTACAGCCTGCTCAGTTGGCAGCTCCCGCAGGCAACACAGGCTCAACTGCAGCTACCGTCCCCGCTCTCCAAGACAAAACATAAAGCGTTTGTTGTGGGAGACTCCACCTTGAGGGGGACTGAGGGGATAATCTGCCGCCCCAACCCCTTAGCCAGGGAAGTCTGCTGCTTCCCGGGGGCCCGCATCCGGGACATTGCGAAGAAGATCCCTAAGCTCGTCCAGCCCACAGACCACTATCCCATGCTCCTTATTTATGTGGGCACCAATGACACGGCTCGGAGCGCTCCCAGCCAGGTCATGAGGCACTACAGGGATTTGGGAGCAGGGCTTAAGGGTCTGGGGGCACAGGTGGTGTTTTCTTTGATCCTCCCAGTCTCAGGGTATGGGCTGAGAAGGGAGAGGAGGATCCAGGTAGTCAACCAAAGACTGCGGTGCTGGTGTCAATGAGAAGGCTTTGGCTTCCATGACCACAGCCTGCTCTTTGGCAAGAGAGGCAGCGAGCTGCTGGGAAGAGATGGCCTCCACCTCTCTCCCCTGGGGAGGAGGCTCTTCTCAGCCAGACTGGCTGACCTGCTCCACCGGGCTTTAAACTAAGCCAGTTGGGGGACAGGGGAACTACTTCCACTGATGGCCTGCTGAGCAACCCTTGCAAAGCCAGTGGGCCAAGGCACTTAAGGGAGCCCACCCCTGCCCCAGCCCTGGTACAATCCATGGGCAAGGCAAGAGCCCCCAAGGGGATACTTGCCTGCCTGTACACAAATGCCAGGAGCTTGGGGAATAAGCAGGAGGAACTCGTCATTCTGCTTAAAACAAATAATAACAATGTTATAGGGATAACAGAGACCTGGTGGGACTCCACCCATGACTGGACCACGGGTATAGATGGCTATACTTTGTACAGGAGGGATCGAGTAGATAAAAGAGGCAGGGGTGTAGCTCTTTATGTTAAGCAAAGCTACCCTGCAAGCTGATGTTGGAGACCAGGTGGATGATTGGAGACCCTCTGGGTTAAAATCCATGGGGAACATGGCACAGGGGACACACAACAGTGGGAGTCTACTACAGACCTCCCACCCAAAATCATCAGTCCCCATGGGACGCCCA